ATAGAATCCCTTTGTTAAACCAAGGATCTCCCTGCGTGTTATCTGATGTACGATCTTATCTGTCCTGAAGTTAGGTACAGATGCTACTTTCCTCTCAGCACTGGGGCAGAATACTTAAGAAACTGTCTGCAGCTTGTTTCCCCTTAAGCAGTAACAGCGTGGGATATAGAACAGCATATGCTGCAAAACTTCCAAACGTGCTGACAGGCTGGTCTGTGAGCTCACCAGCTAAGTTACCGGTGAGTGACCTAGACGACAAACACAAGTTATCTCCCTAAAAAGCATCCTGAAACAATGGTCAATCTAACAGAGCCAGGATTCACAACTTTTCTTTTTTAATGTAAAAGAAACCTCTTGTTGTTGGTTGATTCGAGCGCCCTCGTGTGTCCCCCGCAGCATAACGTCCTTTCAGGTCTGCCAAAGGGTTATCGCTAATGGCAGAGTCAATGACACACAGATCACATCCTCTTCATACTTGTTTCAGGAGCCTTGTGTGAAACTGAAGACTTGTGGGCTGCCCTAGGACTATGAATTTGTCCTCCCTGAGATAAAGTGACATCATAACTTATACCTGAAAAAAAAAAAGAGAGAAAAGCCGGTGTTCTCAGGAGTAGAGGCTAATTTCAACTTGCCTGCTCTGGTTTAAACATGTTAGATCAGCCCACCTATTTCTTATTCCTCCTGCCCCTCCCCCACCCCGAGAGGCAGTGCCGTGGGCACAGCTACTCCCTCCTCCACTGCTGTGCTCACACACCTGAAGGACCCCAGCTACTTCTGAAATAGCAAATCTCAGGAGACCTAGCTCCCCCCTCCTCGCTTGCCCAAGAGCAAGCCATTCTTCTCCCTGGATTCCAGCTCTTCCTGTGGAAAGATAGAGTAGCATTTCTTCTCGCAGGATGAGAAACATCTGCAGTAATGCCTGGACTAGAGTAGATAGACACCCTGTAAATGTTAATTGAATCCAAACCTGTAAACTCGATTCCAACCCACTTGCTGTATTATATTTCCAGAAAACAGACATTCTTCTTCAAATGTAATGTTCATGCATTAAGAAACAGCTTGGGAATTCATGGAGCACAGGGAAAGGTCAAACATTTCCCTGCATTTCCCACAACACCTGCCCTCTTGCCAGGCACTCAGTAACCCTCCACAAACCCTGGAGAAGGGGGGAGAGGGAGTTTGCCCTCCTGCTCTGTTCTCTCTCTTTAGCAGAGTTTAAAGCAATTTAAGGCAAGTAAAGGGGCAAGGATTCACACAAATAGTTGAGACTACACACAAAAAACCTGGTACCTTCTTCATATAAAATGGAAATGAAATTTTCCCCTCATCTTCCTCCTCTCCCTTCCTCCTTTTTTTTTTGAGGTTAGGAAGGCATGACTCAATAATCCAATAGTACAGTCAGGCCAGAATTCCTGAAAAAGAGTGACAATGTCACTCCAACCTGGGTCTCTATATCAGACCAACCTAGATGGGTCTTGTGCTCTGTTAATAGCAAAAGAAATATTTAGACACCACGCTCCTGGTTTCCTCTAAGCAAAAAAGGCATAGAGCTGTTTGCTGCTTAGCCTTAAGCTAGCCAAATGCAACAAAGCCTTGGAGATTTTTGGCTTAATCTTCTCATTGAACTCGTACCAGCCTTGCATGGGCACAGCCAGGGCATCACCCTCCCCACCCCACCCCAGCTTCAGGTGTTGGCAGCTTCTCCCACTCACTTCTTTGCACTTTCCTTACTCCAGGGCAGTGACAAGCTCTGCTCCCCTCCCACCATACACCTGGGGGCACCTCCAACTCACAGAACCAGGGTTGGAAGGGTTCTTCATCTATCTAAAGCCCCTTCAAGTTTTTTGTTTGATCAGTCCAGTCTGCTACTTAACAGAAGGCCAAACAGTGTCTGCCTAATGGAGGTGCTAGAGAGTCCTGTCAACTAAAAGTCGGAACCAATACATGAAGAAGGAATGTACATCATCTCTGTTGTCATGAAGCTGGGAAAAAGGTTTTTCCAATTGAGTCCTTAGGTTAATTAAGAATTTCCATTTCATTTAAAATAACTCTCTTATTTTTCCTCATTTCCTTTCTTACTGCTACCATAGTTACCCAATATCAACACATACTGATATTACTGACTATTCCTATAACTTTCATTTTTTTCTTCTTCCAAACTATCCTAAAAAGATTTCAAAAGATTTCTCTAAACAATAATCTCAACACATCATTTAACAATTTCTACTCAAGAACCCCTACTGGTCCCTGTTGCTTGCAGGATAAAATCTGAACTCTGAAATCTGATATTCAAACTCCTTGGTATTCCCTCACACCCACCCCACCCCTAGGAGAAGTTACAAAGGAACTGGACATCCCCTTCAGAGTTCCCAAGACTCTTCTATCATTGCTATATTAAAATTCAAGACAAAACTCAATGACTGTGGACATTCAAATATCCATGAACTCCTGGGAAGAAACCTGACATTGGGTGTCTCTGCTTAGACTCCAGCTATGTCCTTTGATATTCTCAAACACACTGACGTTAGTTATATGCAAACCAATATAGCTGACCACTATTGGATTTCCTCAGATGACAGCTTATCTGTTTGTCACTGGGAGGCACTTTGCACACCCAGTAATGAACGTCCAGGCGTACGACTGAAAGGTAAAGAAATAAGGAAGAATGATAAATTAACATCAGAGAAAGTACAACGCACATCCTGACACTTGTGGGACCATGTGCTCTCTGTGAACATGAGAGAAAGAGAATGTGGATGGCGGGAGGAAGTCTCCATCACTCCACTAAGCCAGTAGGCCAACATGGAGCAAGTCCAATGAGAGAAACCAACAGCACGGCATTTAATGGTGAAGAACTGTGAAGGAGGCAGAGAATGCTGAGGAACAGAAACCACGATCCTTGGGGGGAAATGCATGCATCCGTCCTCTTCTTCTTTTTCTAGAAGAGAACATTCAGCTCTTGTATTCTTTAAAACGAAAGTATTGTGGCTTTTCCCGAAATTCTTAAAAAGCAATAAACAACACCAGTTCACATCGTTCCCTTGCTGATCATTCCTTGCAGACCCTTCCCCACATCCTTGCACGAAGCCTTCCCCACATCTCTGACCAATGTGGACCATGCCCTTCCCTTACCACGCAAGGTTTTAACATCCTGAACATCCAGGAGGTAGGACTGAGGTTGACCATCTTCCAAACTTGACTGCAAGCACCTCAATGACAAGAACCATTACTTTTTCTTCCTTTGTATCTTTTCTCTTTTACTCTCCCAACTGACCTCATATGGTCTACTCACTCGGCCTAGACCATACTTGAAAAATAGTGATCAGGTTAATTAATAAAAATTGAAATGTACTGACTGTATCATGGAAACTGGAAATTTCTTTCTTTTTCTTAGATATTTTCTTTACCTATTTTTTCTATCTCTTTATGCTTTCCAAACAGTCCCTTTATTTGCAAGGGTGGCTACACACTCAGCAAGACCACTCCCCACACACATATAGAGCTGATTCTTGGTTTGTAGTTAATAGAGTTGGCACTCTTTCTTCAACCTTTGTGGGAGGTTTTAGCACTTAACCTGAAACTGCTGGCTGGCTCTGTTTCTTTGGAAGATCATCCTGCCTGTGTCTGTGTGAATCTCCAATGGTCCTTTCTCATTTACCTCCTGAAAATTTTTAAGGTTTTTTGTTTTGTTTTGTTTTGTTCTGTTTTGTTTTTGTTTTGCTTAATACCCTCACTTCGCCCAGCACTTAAGGTCCACCTCTCCACCCTGGTAAATCCTGCCCTGAATTATTCACCTCCTTCACAAGTTAGGGACAAGCTTCACTGTTGCCTACAGCCCACATGTAAGAATATAGGAGCTTCTATGCTAGGCATGCCTCATGATGCCGCTGTAATTTCCCCATTAAGTTTAGAACTTATCAGTTTTCTCTCCTACACATTCTGGGCTTTTCGTACCCATTCCTCCCAGTCCTACTGCCCCCATCCCCACCCCTACCCCCAAGAAATGAACTGGTTTCCCCAGTGGTTTTAGGCTTGCATTGACCAGCTTATTGTTTCAATGTGACTATGAAGTTGCTGGGTTTGAACGCACCATTTATTCGCCTTCCAGGCCAGGTCTCCCTGCTGAGTGCAGTATATGTAGGTGTGCATGTGGGTACCTATGATGACTAACAGTCCTGGAGTTTGCAATCCTGCTGGTGACTAAAGAGATGGAGTTGTGTTTCATTGTGTTACTAGAGAATCATAGTGTTAGAGGCCCAAGGAATGCTAGACCCCAACCTTGACTTTTCACAGTTTTGGAAACAAAGGCAGAGCAAGGTAAAAGGAACCAGGGTCATAGAGCTAAGCAAGAGGGAAGCTGGGGTCACAGCTTAGAGCTGTCCCTGTTCATCTGGGCCCTTTCACTCATGTATGTCCCTTGAGGGCTCCTGGATGTGGGTGAGAACTCAGGACTCTCACACACAGCCAAAATGCATCACAGACCTGCGAACATATATATGCTGAGAAGATGGGGAGGTAACATGTATGTAGATTACAACACAGAGAATGTGCTATTAAAATTAGAGTAAAACCACTATAACGGGGTTGAATGAAAACGCAGAGAGCACACTCCCCATCCTGCCCTCGCTGCCCATTCCCACCCCCCAGCTCATTTTTTTAAAAAGATGGATAGATTTCCAAAGCACCTTGCTGAGATTGTCCTATGATTTTCCTTTAGTTCAAGCAATACAAACTTATCCTTTAATTCTGTGAAAATAGCTTTTTCACACATCTATGCACACACAGTCACATACACATATGAAACATTGGCAGCAGGTACTTTTAATTTGCTGGAAAATATTTCTAAGAAGTCAAATAGCTCCAGCCCAATGAGCGTGCCCTCCGATTGGCTAGCCAGACCAGTTGAGGGACCTGATTGGTCGTTGATCCTAAGGACCGATAAGAACGGCTTATAAAACCCCTGGGTGCAGCTCCTGGGTCCCCAGTTTGCAAAAGCCAGAGGTGCAAGAAGCAGCGACTGCAGCCACAGCAGCAGCGGAAGCGTCAGCAGGAGCAGCATCAGCAGCAACCAAAAATCCTCATCAAATCCTCACCTAGGCTTTCAGCATATCCAGATCCACATCTTCCCTCAAGCCGGGAGAGGAAAAGAGGAAAGGGGGGGAGAAAAAAAAAAACCCAACAACTTAGCGGAAACTTCTCAGAGAATGCTCCAAAACTCAGCAGTGCTTCTGGTGCTGGTGATCAGTGCTTCTGCAACCCGTGAGGCGGAGCAGAATGATTCTGTGAGCTCCAGGAAATCCCGAGTGGCAGCTCAGAACTCAGGTAAGCGGCAAACCCAGGACCGGTTTCTCCCCCAAAGAGCTGTCCTCATTTGCCTCTCGCTTTTGCAACTGTGTCTGTGACTGCTGATCTTGATAATAAATGTGCTTCATGCCTGATGGCAATAAACTGCCGGTGTAATCCAATAGCCTTAGGAAGTGGAGCTCCTTTGTTTAATAAATTGCACGCAACTAACTAACGAAGAAGCTGGGCGCTGTGCTGAGGGTATTTCATTGCATAAGCCTAGCCTGATTGCCTGAAATCTGGCACGTACCCTCTTGGGGGGGAGGGGGCGGGGAAAGGCTTGAATGTTGGCATGCTTCAAAGCGCTCTCTATACTTTCCAGAAGCTGAAGCTGATCTTAAGGTGAGACATGATTTGGCTCATGCCCCTCTTTCTTCACCCATGAGACCCTATAACTTGACTTCCCCACCCCTTCAGAGAACACACCGAAAGCTCCCCCTGCAGGCTGATTTATGGAACCAGAGCCTCAAGTCTGACAAGCCCAGAGCATATTCAGAGAAAATCCTACACATCCCACCCCCAACATTGCTCCTTCTCTTCCTCCCGGTTCTCCCTTGGGCTCCATTCAGTCGTTCATTCAGCCCATGGCCAGCGAGCCTCTTGAAAAGGGCTATTTGTGAAATGTAGCAGCTGTTTCTTCAAGGGGAAGGTCTCACTCTGCCCCAACTCCTGAAGCAGTCAATTGTGTGTAAGGTTGGCCTTGCAAGGAAAAGAGTCCTTAGGACGCCGGCATTGACACTTCCGCCTTGTGACTTTGCTCCTCCGCCTTGCTGCTCATCTATTGCTGCCTTCGCTCCCCCAACTGTCAGCAAATATGGGATCGCAGGTGTCCAAACGCTGCAGACGACGCTCCCCTCGCTCCCCTCGCAAGAGCAGGTCCCTGCCGAGAGAAGGGCTTTGCTTCACTTCCTTTTGTACTTAGTTGCTATAGAGATGCAGTGATTCACAATTTGAGCTTGCCTAAAACAATAGGAACCCCAATGCATATTAAAACTGCTTAAAGCGAAGTTATAATTTGAACCCGTAGAAATATATAATTAGGGAAATGACTTGTAACATCCCAGAGGCTGCGGGTGGTGGGAGGGGGAGGGGGAACCTAACTGAACCATGCTTTTGATCTCGGAGGAGAATCCTACGGTACGAAGGCCGCAGATCATTTCTTGCAGAGCTGCCTGCCAGAACACCCCCCTTCTGTAGGAGAGAAATTACTTTTATGGGATCTTATCCAGAATGTAGAAAGCCTCATGCAAGTTCTTTGCGGTTTTCTTCCAGTCTTGCACAAGGGGTGCCTTGGCCTTTTTATTCCACACCTGTGTTTCTCTTTTCTTTAAAAAAAAAAAAAAACGGCTTTTACCATGAGAGACATTATATATACCTCTAAGCACTGTCCTGTGGTGGGGGGTTGGGGTGAAACAAGAACGGATCAGATTCCTTTCTGCCAATATGAAGGTAAGTTAAAAGCCCTAATTCGGAAGGGACTCCTGGCAAATTCTTCTCTGCTATTTAGACTAAAATTCCATCCTTATTACTCTGGAGTGCCTTTTCAGGAGCCAAATGGACTCCCTGGCCTTTCCACCTCCTCACCCTGAACCACCAGCCACCGCTCCTGCCTCCCGCGCGTTCAGGCTCTAAGTGGTGCCCCCTGGCTCTGCAGAGCTGCTCCCAGCTCTGTGCGTGCCCAGTCCAGCCTTCCTCTCCAGCCACCCAAACCGGGTGGCCGTGGTGAGACAAGAGTGTGTGTCTCAGAGGGAAAGCATAGTCCCTCTCCCACATGTGCCCTGGCTCTTCCAAGCCAGAGGCATCTGCCTGCCCCACCCTTTCTCATCCCACCCACCTCCCTGCTCTGAATGGGTCTATTTCCTGGCCCCATCACCGACATCTACAATAAGTTCTCCTGACCCCGAGTCCTTGAGTTTTTCCAGCAGACCAGCTTGACCCCTTGGGACCACCTCACTGTCTGACCCAGATCGGATGGCCTTGTCTCTTTCAGCTGAAGTGGTCCGCTGCCTCAACAGTGCGCTGCAGGTTGGCTGTGGGGCTTTCGCATGCCTGGAAAACTCCACCTGTGACACAGATGGGATGTATGACATCTGTAAATCCTTCTTGTACAGCGCTGCTAAATTCGACACTCAGGTAATAAGACCTTGAACTTTTACTCCCACTGGCTCCTGGTCTTTAACAGTGTGTTAGACTATTGTTCTTAGGAACCAGTCTTTTAGGGAACCAGCCCTCCCTCTTAGCCTCTCCACTCCAAATCCTCATCTCCAGTGTGTATACACACACACACACACACACACACACACACACACACACTTTAGGCCTGGATACATGTTGTGTATAAGACCCCCACCCAACCACCCTAAGACCCAGTTGTAACGTGCTGACAGAGGCTGTCTGACAAGGGAGGGATGATGAGCAGAAAACCTTTGCCTCTTCAAGAGGAAATAAAAATGTTCTTCTAACAAAGAAGTTATATGACCTAGCATACCAGCTTATGGTTTGAGTTATCAAAGTCTCAATCCCAAGAATACAAAGACATATCATGGCTATTTTTAAGCTGCAGGGTGGTTGTTTATGGTTTCTTTCTTTTTTTCTCTCTTGTCTCATTTCATTGCAATGGAGCTCCACTCTCAAGGTAGTCTCAGGGAGTAGGGACATTTTTCATCCTGGCCATGCATACAGTTTTCTCATTGCAAGGACATGCAGATGGCCATAGTACAGTGCCAAGAGCCCCCTTAAGTTCCACACATTGTATGCCCTGTCCTCTCTCGTCAGCTTGAGCTAAAGCTTTTCCTCCTACCCCTTTCCTTGGCAGGGAAAAGCATTTGTCAAAGAGAGCTTGAAGTGCATCGCCAATGGGGTCACCGCCAAGGTCTTCCTTGCCATCCGGAGGTGCTCCATTTTCCAGAGGATGATTGCTGAGGTGCAGGAGGAGTGCTATACCAAGCTGAACGTGTGCAGCATCGCCAAGCAGAACCCCGAGGCCATCACGGAAGTCGTCCAGCTGCCCAATCACTTCTCCAACAGGTATGAAATGAGTCCACTTTTTGCAGTGAAGGTGGAGGAGGGAGTGGCTGGCTGGCAGAGCCAGACACAGGAGGGGGGTTCAATTGCCACAGTCATGCTCTTATTTTAGCTTGCAGCCTTCCCAGCTTTTGCAGGAAAAATGTGTTTGTGATTGGTTGTGACAGCTCAAGCAGGCTGGGTTTATTTTTTTCTCTGTTATAGGAAAAGTCTTCCCGTGCAGCTAATAGAAAGCTTCATCTGCAGCATCCCTGCATACATTTTCATGGTCAGTTTCTTGTCATGAGCCTGAAGGGAATTATGAAGTTTATGGAAACAAGCTTTTGAGACATCAAATTTGGCTGAATGACTGTGCACAGTACAATTGGCCATTATAAAAACCCTGGTCAAATGTCATAATGCAGTCTTTTAAAGCTGCACACATTTTGAGTCTGCCCCAAGCTCAGTCAGGCATTTCATTAGGTGGCCCAGAGCAAGCCACCCCTTCTTGGGACTGCTGCTTCCTGGGTGAAGTGGCTGAACTGGACAACAACCATGTTCCCTTCCAGGCCAGGGTTACATCCCATTCCTCTAGACCGAGATTTCCTATAATGACATTCTGCTGACTGCCCTGATCACATGCTCATCCTAGTATTCTAATGCCACCCAAAGCCACTGTGCTGGTATTACCCCAGCATCATGTTTTTCTGTGGCCCTAACCCACTGTCCTCACCAGCTCAGAGTAAACACCTAGCACAGGTGATGGCTGACAACCTCATTGCATCACCTCGAAAGGCTCCCAGCAATACCTGGGCTTCCCCATCTGTGACCAAGTTAACAGAAGTGGTGATGGGGCTAGTGTGAAGGTATAGCAAGGGCAGTGCCAGCCCGCAGTCAAGTTCAGCTTACGGTGATGCTCCTGACCCTGAATTGAAATTTGACTCCCAGTCCCGAAGCACTATGATTCTTTGACTTTCCAACCAAATCCACACGTATTCACAAAGACCAGTCTTGTTTGTGTTACTCCGACCACCTGAGAGCTAATGCAGACTGACCCTGATTAATTTCCTAGCCATATTCTGCCACCCTTGTTCAGAAAGTGGCCACAGCCTGGTCCTTCAGGGGCTTCCTAGTGGTTTAGGCACGTCCGGAAAGGCACCTACAAGATGAGAAAAGCAGCTCTTCCTTGGGGAAAGTTTAAGCCCCCGACACTAAAACTTTGTAAAATGTCTGATTCACTTTGTCAGTACTCTTTAGAATCTGGTGTCCGTTTACAAACATTGTTTGTTCAGTCCTTGGAAGCCACTCTGTCATGGGTCCTAACTGATTTCCTCAAAACAAAAACTAGCATTTATCTCAAGTGGTCTGTCTCTCTATATCGACCTTGGTCTTAAAATTCTCCTAAGAAGATTCTTATTACATCTGGGGAGAAAAAAGAACCTGGTTAATTGCTGGAGACACCTTTCACCATAAAGAAGAGAAATACAGAATTCTTAGTCTGATGTGGGGCTACAAAGAAAGGATGTTATTTGTGTAGTAGCTGGGGGATAGGGGTATGTTAGCAGAGCCATTATTACAAGCTTAGATCATTAAGGATCTGGTGACAGTTCATGATCTATAATATGGCATGAAAGCCATTTTGAGGTGGTACTAACCTCTCTGTTTTAACTGAGACGGCATCTTCCATCATGAAGGGAGAGGTCTTTTAGAAAGGATGACTCAGACTCTGGACTGGTGATCCTGCCTGTCTAAGAAGAGGCTAGTACTCATTTTAGTCAGGCCATTATTACTTTCAATAAGTGTCTTCTCATCACCTTTAGAAAATGGTCACAAGGAGTCTTGTTATCTCTTACTGTAATCTTAGGGGAATCACAAATATTAGGAAAGTGGGAAAAAGTGGCCACCCCCTGGGAAACCAGAACCTTCCATGCAACTTTTACCTTTCTCCAATTATTTCACTTCCATGGGCTAATATTCCTGCTGAGAACTGGAGAGATTTCCGGTTCCATTCTGGGCTTGATTTGCTCTATTTAAGCTCCTCGCCCTCCTGAAACATCCTGCTTTCCCAGCCTCTGTCCCACCACAGATATACGCCAATGCACGCCAACTGGCACTGAACTGCAAAAGGAAGTAGTTACAGGTTCATTCCACTTTCCTGTGACTTATCTAGCCTGAGACTTGGGCCTGGGAGAATCCAAAAGCCTGTGACTGGACCAGAAGCCAGAACAGGGAAGTTTTCCATGAGCAAAATGTACTGAGAAGAGAAAGCATAGCTGGAGTGTCCCCTGGCTGAATTTGCAAACGACACTTCCAACCAGGAGGAAAGCAGGCAAAATTGATCAGGCAGGTTGAACAGTGGGAGACTTGGGAAGAGTTAGACCAATCCACATCCAGAGTGGGAAAACAGACAAAGCTTCCAGCTCTCTAGGGCACGGATAGGGAACAGGAAACAGAAGAATAATATTGATCAAGGGAAACAAAGGACTATTTATAAACCTCACACAGAACGTTCCTAGGCAGTATGTGTGTATTTGGGTAAGCATGGCTGAAACAGTAGCTATGGAGAATATCTGATCTTATTCTTTCACAAGAAAAAAAGTTAGCGATGGAATTTTTAAAGTAGGAAGGAAGAAATATGCTTTTAAAAGTCCCTCTAGGCAGGGTGGCCCAAACACTTAGCCTGCCAGGTCTTTGCAGCAGACCCCACCCCACCACCCCATAAAGATGAGGAAAGAAATCTTAAATAGTTCTAACTCTTCCTGCAAAGGATGGGCCGAAGACAGAGCTTCACTGTTTGTTTGTTTGTTGGTTTGTTTTTTAATTGTTTGGTTTATTGCTTATTTGTCTTTTTTGTTAAATTGAGAAGGAGCATATATGTCAAATCACTAGAAACATAGGATGTCACAGCTAAAGACGGCCATAGAGGTTATCTAGACTAACTGCCTCATTTCACTGATTAAAGAACAGAGGCTCAGAGAGGGGAGTGACCTGCTGAAGGTCACACAGCTGGAAAGTGACAGAGTTGGGCCTAGAACTCACATGGCCTTGAGCCAAGCTATTTGATTTCTACTTCAAAAATGGCAGCCAGGCTACATCCACAATCCAAAAATAGAAAACCAAGCAGAATTGAATAAATGTGCCCGGGGTGAGCAACAATTAGATTTGTGTACATTCTCTCCTCAAAGAGAAAACACAGCTTACTTGGTACAAGACAGTGCTCACTAAATATGTGACAATTGCTAAGGCAACTTTTACTGCAGACACAATATCTTCACTACTCTCACTTAGTGTTTATAGATAGGAAAGGTCTATCTCATTTACTCACACAATCCCAGAGGTCAATGCTTGATGCTAGCTCTTAATAGAGATGCCCAGGGTAAACCTACAGCCCACTCTGGCAAATGGAAAGGCTGACAGATTATTCCCCACACTTGGAGGAACTGCTAATGGAGCCATGAGCATCTTCTACTCCAGGGAGCTTCCTTAACCTGCCCTCATTGTGTTAATAAAGCTCCATGAGAGGAGATAAGGGTAGATTTGGGGGGAGTCACTAAGGGCAATCAGGCCAGCAAAGGCCATTGTCAAAAAACACCAAGTGCAGATGTTCCACCTAGGCTGGCAGAGAAAGCAACAGGGAAGGCAAAACCCTCAGAGAGGGAGAGTAGGTTTGACAAAGTTGGGCCAGAGCAACTCAGCTGGCCTCCAACAGGCCAGTCCAGCTACAGAAGTTGCATTTTCTTCCTGAAGTCAGACTTCTTCAACCAGACAAAAGCTTGCCATGTTGATCTAAGGAAAGACCATCTGCTCCAGCCTATTTGGGAGGTCATCTGGTGTGAATAGTTCTTTTTCGAAGTGGAAGGTTTAACTCTGAGTCATAAAGTCCATACTGGGGGGCAGGAAAGCAAGGTTCAGAAACCTCATTCTCTAGGATCTAATCACCCTGTGAACTGGACACAGAGGTCCAGGGGACCCATGACCTAGCAGAGCCCACAAACAAAGAGATGCCTGGGGATCTATATGGGTATGCAGACTTCTGAAGTTATTGGTACAAAGTAGCTCATCCTCAGTTTTTCCAAAACCATTTTTCTACCCACTTCCCCATCCAAGTGAGATCTGCTTTGACTCATGTGCTCTATATAGTTCCAAAGGGCTGGAAAATGTGTTTCTGTGCCAGAGAATCCCGATTTGAAAAACAGCTGCATATAACCCCTCTGCATGGGAAGGATGGGGCCAGGACTCTGTCTGAGACCCAGACAGGACACTTCTCTTTTGATCCCCAAATTCATTCTGCTCACTCACAGAAAAGTGACCGCTTTGCTTCATTACCCATATTCCACACTATTTACTGCTCATCCTTGAAAGGGCCTCTCTGGGGGGTTAAGTTATTCTGGAAAGATGCTTGATTCTATGTTCCATGAGGTGACATAAAAATAAATAGCTTTCTCTTCACAGAAGATCTTATGGCCCCAGTGACCCTCAGTTTCCTCTGAGGAAAGGGTCTCTCCACAGACACTCTGCAAATACCTGTCATCAGGACAGTCTCTTATTAGTGGACATGGAGCTAATGGGTTTTGACAACCACCTCAAAATAGAGCAAACACATCCCAACTCAAATTTGAACATACCTGGACTGTCTTTCTAAAGCACAGGATGAATCATTTATATGTTGTAAATATTAGACAGTATAACTCTTTCTGAGCCACGACATGTAGCTGCAGTGGTTGGGATGCCTGAAGAACTTGCACCAAAGATGAAGGTAATTTATACCCAGCACAGGATTTGGGGTAAAACTTACCAGACCTACAGATAATTTTTCTTGTGGCAATCACGCCTTATGGGAGAGAGTTATATTTTTAAAGCTTCATTGCCTCTGTGGCCACAAAATTAAATCAACACATCAACAGTGAATGGGCAGTATTGCCCTATGATGCTGGCACAAGAGGAATACAAAGAACAAGGACCCAAGCCCTGCTTTCAATAAGGTTAGAGTCTGATCAGGAAAACAAATACATCAAACGCTGACCTGTGTGATCCTAACCAAATATCTAAAAAATGTCAAAAAAAAGGGAAGAGGCCAGTTAAAGCTAAACTGGTGAGAGAAGGCTTCCTGGAATTATTGAAGCACGAACCATTAACAACCACTGATCTTTCCATTTACATGTCCTCATTGCCTGGGATTTGGCCCTCTCACTACAATATACCTTTCAAGAATTTTGACACTAAAGACAGGAGATTCCTTTAAAGATAGAAGTTCAGTCTGACTATGTACTCATATGCCCATATACCTGAACACATGCCAAGAAATGGGAAAATTGCAAAGAGGCATCAAAATAACCACAAATTTATGTGTAATAACTTTTTTACTTTTATTTTATTTTTATTAGATTTATTGGAGTGACATTGGTTAATAAAACTACATAGGTTTGTGGTGTACAATTTTAGAATACATCACTTGTATACTGTATTGTGTGTTTCATCACCCCAAGTCCAGTCTCCTTCCATTACCACTTATCTTCCCTTTACCCTCTTCTATCTTCCCCCAACCCCCTTCTTCTCTGGTATCACCATGCTGTTATCTGTATCTATGATGCTATTTTGTTTGCTTAGTTGAGTTTTTTTTTCCTTAATTCCTTCACTTTTGCAACAGCATGGGTGGACCTAGAGACCATGATTCTAAGTAAAATAAGCCAGTCAAAGAAAGACAAATACCATATGATCTTACTCATATAGAACAAAATAAACTAACAAAATCGAAACAGACTCATAGATAAAGAGACTGACAGCTGTCGGAGGGGAGGGAGGCCACAGGGTTGAGTGAGAAAGGTGAAGGGGTGTTCCATGACTATTAATATGTGTTGAGTGTCGGGCTCAGTTCATGATAGTTGACTTAAGTCCTGCTTCTACCACTCACCCAGTGTGTGATCTTCGAAAGTCACTTCAGCTGTCCTGCCTACAAAATAAGATGATAAAATAGTCACCAAATGATCCCTCCACTCCCATCTAGCTTTATAATTGTTTCTAAAGCTTTTAAACATTGCTGAAAGCCTACTATCCAAAGTCAAGTCCCTGAACCCTAAACACGGAGATATACCTGTCTTGCACTGTGTGGTGAATCCAGGAAGCACTCACACTAAGAAGATGGCACAAAAATCGGAAGCCACCTACTATCTATTTGGGTCCACCAGGTCTAGCCATTCAGGATGGCGTCGGCTGGGGCCCCACGCAAGCCTGGTCCCACCTGTTCTCACTGATGATGTGTCCCTTTTTCTCTTCCCCGCTGCAGATACTACAACAGACTCGTGCGCAGCCTCCTAGAGTGCGACGGGGATACTGTCAGCACTATCAGAGACAGCCTGATGGAGAAGATCGGGCCCAACATGGCCAGCCTCTTTCAAATCCTGCAGACGGATCACTGTGCCCAAACACAACCGCGAGCTGACTTCAACAGGAGGCGCACCAGTGAGCCCCAGAAGCTGAAAGTCCTCCTCAGGAACCTCCGAGGTGAGGTGGCCTCTCCCTCCCACACCAAACGCACCTCTCATGAGAGTGCATAACCCGGGAGAGGTGTGCACAACCTCACCAAACTAGCATCATTGAAGGGTGTTCACACACCAACTTTGAGTGTACTGTGCCTGCTTTGATTTTTTTTAAAGTAGTTCCTATTTTCTAGCCCCCTTAAAGAAAATTGCATGAAACTAGGCTTCTGTCACCAATAACCCAACATTCCGCCACGGCAGCATTCCCACAAACAGAATTCTGTGTGATCTCTCTGCCTCTCCTCAGGAGGAAAGACCCTCTTTGATTCCTTTCCTCTACCATGTTTTTTCCCAGCTCCCCTCAAAACTACCCTCAAACACACAATATTCATGTAATTCCCCGGTCATTGTAATTTGAAGATGTGGAGCCCTTTAGAATGGTTGCCCCAGTAGAGTTAGCTGATAAGAAGCAACTTAATTTAAATGCATGTCTTAAATGCTCATAAAGATGTTAAATGGAATTCGTGTTATGAATCTGTGCTGGCCATGGACGAATATGAATGTCATGTTTGAATTCTTGATCTCTCATGAGCTAGTGTCTTAATGGTCTTGATCCTCCAATGTCTAATTTCCTTTCCGACACATTTACCAAATTGCTCAAGCCTGGCCCTCCCCACAGGCTTTGAGCCTGCCTCTTCTTGCATCTAATGAAAAACAAAAAGCTAACATCTTTATGTACTGTAACTGCTCAGAGCTTTAAAAGTATCTTTAACAATTGTCTTAAAACCAGAGAATCTTAAGGTCTAACTGTGGAATATAAATAGCTGAAAACTAATGTACTGTACATAAATTTCCAGAGGACTCTGCTTAAACAAAGCAGTATATAATAACTTTATTGCATATAGATTTAGTTTTGTAACTTAGCTTTATTTTTCTTTTCCTGGGAATGGAATAACTATCTCACTTCCAGATATCCACATAATAAATGCTCCTTGTGGCCTTTTTTATAACTAAGGGGGTAGAAGTAGTTTTAGTCAACATCAAAACTTAAGATGGGCCTGTATGAGATAGGAAAAACCCACAGGTTTATCTGAAGGACCCCAGGTAAGATGTTAATCTCCCAGCCCACCTCAACCCAGAGGCTACTCTTGACTTAGGCCTATCCTGAAACAGCTCTGTCACATCCAACTGGGAATGACAGGAACCAAAAAGAGCATCCCTTTGGCTTGGACCACTAAGAGTGCAATAAGGCCTACTATACCTTGGGACGTGGCAGTTCTTGACTCGCCACCTTTCATCAGTGCCTGGTACTCTGGCAAACTGATGACTGGGTGGGAGACTTTCCATGAAATCGAACAGGAATGAGTCAAGGAGCCTTTGGGTCTTTAGTTTGGGGGACTTGGGGCTGAGGGGGTGAAAATAACCCTGGGCTGTCCAGCCTTAATAGACTTCTCTTACATTTTTGTCCTGTAGCACGCTGCCTGCCAAAGTAGTCCTGGCAGCTGGGCCATCTCTATAGGATTACAAAAGGAAAAGAGAAAGAAAGAGGAAGGAAGGAAGGAAAGAAGGAAGGAAGGAAGGAAGGAAGGAAGGAAGGAAGGAAGGAAGGAAGGGAGGGAGGGAGGGAGGGAGGGAGGAAGGGAGGAAAGAAGGAGAGAGAGAGAGGAAGGAAGGAGGGAGGAAGGAGGAAGGAAGGAAGGAAGGAAGGAAGGAAGGAAGGAAGGAAGGAAGGAAGGAAGGAAGGAAGGAAGGAAGGAAGGGGGAAAAATGAGCTGGTGGTTGGATCATTTCTGCCGTGATGTTTACAAGATGGCGACCACCAAAGCCAAGTGATTAACCTATCTATGAACAACAGTAGTTTCTCAGGGTCACTGTCCTTGAACCCAACAGTCCATTATGAGCATCACTGCCCACCAAGGTCAATATTGACAGAGGAGGAGGGAGCAGGGGTAGGACTGTAGGGCCACTCCAAACTCGCTTAGGTAGAAACTATTGGTGCTTGACTCTCACTAGGCTAAACTCAAGATTTGATCAAATCGAGTAATAGGGATCCTGGTGGGAGGAAGGAGGGCACATATCCAGAAAAATGAAAAGCAATACAACTTTACCATAAAGCCTTTAAAACCAGTACCGTGCTGCTCAAGGACCAAGAGCGACTGCAGCAGACCCAGCAGCAGCAGCACAAGCATTGCTGCCTTTGTCCCCACACAGCCTCTAAGCGTGCTGACATCAGATTGTTAAGAGCATTTTTATACTCAGAACTGCCCTATCCCCAGGTCCCCAAACATATGGACACTGCCTTAGCCTCTTGGAAATCAGGTAGACCGTACTCTAAGTTGACTCTCCCCCTCCCTCCTTTCCTCCCCCACCCCCCAGCCCCAGGCAAGGCTGACTCCTCCCAACCAGAAAAGCTCTTCAAGTGTGTGTGCTGTGTCTATTTCGCAAACCCACGAAACCAGGACCCCAATGAGACAAGTAGTACATGAGTATTCCTAGCAAAATTCTCTCTTACTTCAGTCCCGAAGATTCTCTTTTTTGCTGTGACCTCTTCACACCGTGGTAATCCTCCTTTTCTCCCCACAGTGATATTTATATATGTATCTCTAATACATATGTCTACACATCCAAAAAGAAGCAGTTCTCACAATGTTGCTAGTTTTTTGCTTCTCTTTCCCCATCCCACCCCTCAAATGCCCCCAAACCTCCCAAGCTTCATCTTGTGTTCCCTGCACAGAGTGATTCGGGCTGACCTAGACCAGTTTGCATGATTCTTCTCTCGTGATTTGGTTGCACTTTAGACATTTTTGTGCCATTATATTTGCATTATGTATTTATAATTTAAATGATATTTAGGTTTTTGGCTGAGTACTGGAATAAACAGTGAGCATATCTGGTATATGTCATTATTTATTGTTAAATTACATTTTTAAGCTCCATGTGCATATAAAGGTTATGAACATATCATGGTAATGACAGATGCAAGTTATTTTATTTGCTTATTTTTATAATTAAAGATGCCATAGCATAATATGAAACCTTTGGTGAATTCCTTCTGAGATAAAAATGCTAATAAAGTGTTACATTTTATTGTTTTTCCCCCAATGTCTTTGATTGTTATTCTTTAAAAACTTCTTGAATGAGACTTTCTGAACATGAAGTTAATGGCCAATTTGTTTCTTAGAAGTCATTCATTGACCCTAATCTAAAGCATAAATATGTAAATGAATATTATTTAAAATCACTGTTTTCCCAATTTACTTAAAATCATTTAGTGGCTCCCATTACCTTCAGAGTAAAACTGCAACCCAGATTCTTTCTGCTCTCAGAAAAAGCTGTATGGCCTAAACTCTGCTCAGCTCCCCACCTCAGGATTTGCCTTCCCTCCCAGTTAATGAACTCTACCCTCCAGCTGTTGGTTCTGGAAAGGATTCACTCCCCCTCCTTACAGGCCTACATGGAGGTTGCTCTCACTCTCTAGAGGACCTTGTCCTGCACCCTTCACCAGACTGGAAGTGCCTTTGCTTGTTCACCAATGCATTCTTTGCACCAAAACAGCACCCAGTATGCAGCATACCCTGAATACTTTAAAGGAATGATTCAGAAAGAGTTGAAAGAGGGGACAATTGAATCACTGTGACAAAGGATGCAGATAGCTCAGTGATGACGAAGGTCCAGCTCTAGGGTCAGACTTCTGGGATTTGAATTCTGGCTCTGCCACTGTTTACTGATGATGTCAGATATACTTAATCTCAAAATACATCAGTTCAGTTTCTTCCTCTGTAAAATGAGGATGATAATAACCTTCCAGAATGCTATTAGAAGGAGATAAAATAAGCAAAGTGCTTACAACATGTCCAATAAGCTATAATGCTCAATAAGTGTTGGCTGTTATCATCATCACAAGTAGAGGGGATGAGAACAAAAGAAGGGGAATGGAGAAAGATTTATGGATGAATGACATTTTGTTGGGTCTTAAAGGACAGTCACAAATTCAGTCTCAGCAAATCAGGGGAGGGGAATCCTCTGGTATAGTTTTTTCAGGTAGTATATTTTTTTTAATGAGTGGCTTTATTAGCAGATTAATTAGTGGCTCATAATTGGATGGATGGATTTCTCCATATTTTAAATTCAACTGGGGACATTTTTCTCAGTATCAATCATTTCTAGCTCCAAACTGCAATTTCCCAAGTTCAGGTATGCACAGGACAGGTAACGAACACTACAAGAGATGTCACTCTGAAGCCCAAAATGTGTTGCACTTGCTTTTGTCTGACCTAGCCAAGGAAAGAGACTACATTTATTTCATTAAGATCCTTCAGCCTCATCTTAATCTATGTCTCTTTATACACAAGATATTGACAGCAACACAATTATAGTGGGGGATTTTAACACACCACTATCAAAAATGGACAGGTCTTCCAAACAAAATATCAACAAAGATATTGTGGCATTGAACAATACCCTAGATGAAATGGATTTAACTGATATATACAGAACCCTCCATCCCAAAGAAGTTAAATACATAGTCTTTTCAAATGTACACGGAACATTTTCAAAGATAGACCACATGATAGGACACAAAACAAGCCTCAACAATTTCAAGAAAATTGAAATTATACCAAGCATTGTCTCAGATCACAGGGACTGAAGCTAGAAACCAACCCCAAGGGAAAAAAAAAACACAAAACACTCAAAATCATGGGGATTGAATAGCTTGCTATTAAACAATGAATGGGTCAAGAATGAAATTAGGGAAGAAATCAAAAGATTTCTGGAAACAAATGAAAATGAACTCACAATAACTCAAAACTCATGGGACACAATGAAGACAGTCCTGAGAGGGAAGTTCATAGCAATACAGGCATACCTAAAAAAAATAGAAATTTTTCAAACAAACAACCTAACCCTATGTCTACAAGAACTCGAGGAACAACAACAAAGACAGCCCAGAGCAAGCAGAAGGAAGGAAATAACCAAGATCAGAGCAGAATTAAATGACATAGAGACTAAAAGCACAATTCTAAGGATCGATGAATCCAAGAGCTGGTTCTTTGAAAAGATAAACAAAATCAACAAGCCTTTAAGCAGACTCATCAAGAAAAAAAGAGAGAAGACCCAAATAAACACAATCAGAAATGAAAGAAGAGAGATTACAACAGATACCACAGAAATACAAAGGATTGTAAGAAATTACTATAGAGTAATTATGCCAAGAAATTTGAAAATCTAGGTGAGATGGACAAATTTCTAGAAAAATATAATTTTCCAAAACTCAATGAAGAAGAAGCAGAAAGCCTGAACAGACTAATAACAGCAAATGAAATTGAAGCAGTAATCAAAAAAATCCCAACACACAAAAGCCCTGGACCAGATGGTATCACAAGAGAATTCTACAAAGCATTTAAGGAAGAGCTAACCCCTATCCTTCACAGACTATTCCAAAAAAATCCAAAATGATGGAAGACTCCCAAACTCTTTTTATGAGGCCAAAATCATCCTAATTCCAAAACCGGATAAAGACACAATGAAGAAAGAAAACTTCAGGCCAATATCGCTGATGAACATTGATGCTAAAATCCTCAACAAAATACTGGCAAACCGCATCCAACAATACATTAAAAACGTCATACACCGTAACCAAGTGGGGTTCATTCCAGGGATACAAGGATGGTACAATATTCGCAAATCAGTAAATGTAATACATCACATAAACAAAAGCAAAGACAAAAACCGCATGATCATATCAATAGATGCAGAGAAAGCATTTGATAAGGTACAGCACCCATTTATGATAAAAACACTCTGCAAAGTGGGAATAGAGGGAGCATTCCTCAACATAATAAAGGCCATATATGAGAGACCTATAGCCAACATCATACTCAATGGGCAAAAACTAAAATCTTTTCCACTAAAATCAGGAAAAGACAAGGCTTTCCACTTTCACCACTTCTATTCAATATAGTACTGGAAGTTTTAGCCACAGCAATCAGACAAGAAAAAAACATAAAATGCATCCAAATTGGAAAGGAGGAAACAAAACTGTCACTGTTTGCAGATGACATGATAGTGGACATAGAAAATCCTATAGACTCCACCAAAATAACTGCTTGACCTAATAAATGAATTTGGCAAAACAGCGGAATACAAAGTCAATATCCAGAAATCAAAGTCATTTCTGTACACCACGAATGAACAGCAGAAGCAGAAATCAAGAAAAAAATCCCAGTTGAAATAGCAAAAAGAAAAATGAAATACCTAGGAATAAACCTAACCAAAGAGGTAAAAGACCTGTATTCAGAAAACCACATAACACTGAGGAAAGAAATCAAGGAAGACACAAACAAATGGAAACATATACTGTGTTCATGGGTTGGAAGAATTAATATCATCAACATGCCCATACTACCCAAAGCAATTTACACATTCAATGCAATACCTATTAAAGTACCAATGACTTATTTCACAGACATAGAACAAACACTTCAAAAATTTATATGGAACCATAAATGACCTAGAATAGCTGCTGCAATTTTGAGAAAGAAGAGTAAAGTAGGAGGGATCACAATACCTGACACTAAACTATACTACAAGGTCACTGTAATCAAAACAGCCTGGTACTGGCATAAAAACAGGCTCATGGACCAATGGAACAGAACAGAGAGTCCAGAAATAAACCCAAGTCTCTATGGCCAATTAATATTTAACAAAGGAGGCAGCATCATAAAATGGAGTAAAAATAGCCTCTTCAACAAATGGTGTTAGGAGAACTGGACAGCTACCTGCAACAAAATGAAACTTGAGCACCAATTTACACCTTATACAAAAATAAATTCAAGGTGGATAAAAGACTTAAATATAAAACATGACACCATTAAAGTCCTAGAGGAGAATGTAGGTAGGAAAATCTCAGATATTTCACGCAGAAACTTTTTTACTGACATGTCCCCTAGAGCAAGGAACATAAAGGAAAGAATAAACAAATAGGACCTCATCAAAATAAAAAGCTTCTGCACAGCTAAAGAAAACAGTATCAAAATAAAAAGAGAACCAACTGTATGGGAAAACATATTTGCCAATGATATCTCAGACAAGGGTTTAATCTCCAAAATATATAAAGAACTTACACGACTACACTCTAAGAAGACAAGCAACCAAATTAAAAAATGGGCCAAGGACTTGAACAGACACTTCTCCAAGGAGGACATACAGAGGATCCAAAGACACATGAAACGATGTTCAATATCGCTAGCTATCAGAGAGATGCAAATTAAAACCACGAGATACCACTTCACACCAGTCAGAATGGCCAACATAAACAAAGCAACAAACAACAAGTGTTGGAGAAGTTATGGAGAAAAGGGGACCCTAGTGCATTGTTGGTGGGACTGCAGACTGGTACAACCACCATGGAAAACAGTATGGAACTTCCTCAGAAAATTAAAAATGGATTTGCCTTTTGACCCAGCAATTCCACTGCTGGGACTATATCCTAAGAATACTAAAACACCAATCCAAAAGAACCTTTGCACCCCAATGTTCATAGCAGCAATAGCTAAGTGCTGGAAGCAACCTAGATGCCCATCAGTAAATGAATGGATCAAAAAACTATGGTACATTTACACAATGGAATTCTATGCAGCAGAAAGAAAGAAGGAGCTCCTACCCTTTGCAACAGCATGGATGGAGCTGGAAAGCATTATGCTAAGTGAAATAAGCCAGACAGTGAAAGACAAATACCATATGATCTCACCCTCAACAGGAACCTAAACAACAAAAGAAAGAAACAAGCAAAATATAACCAAAGACACTGAAATAAAGAACAGACTGACAGAGTTCAGAGGGGAGAGGAGAGGGATTTTCAGGGGAATTTCAGGGGAAAAGGGGAAGGGTTTACAGGAATGAGTATAAAGGACACATGGATAAAAACTAGGGGAAGGTGGAAATGGGAGGGAAGAGGGGAGGGCTGGGTGAGTGGGTTGGGAATGGGAGGAAAAGATAGAAAATTGTACTGCAACAACAATTTAAATAAAATTTAAAAATAAATTAAAATAAAAGTAAAGAAAATAAAGAAAAACACATTCATGGGAATGCTTTACTCAGGGCTCAAACCCTTAGTCCTTCCTCAGCCCCACCCCACATGGGCACCTGGAATCAGCAGGCACATACCAGCAGGGCTGTGTGTGGTTTACTCCACCAGCAATTTTTTTCCAGCTTCCAGTATCATTTATTTTTCCCAGAATCTAGATACAGTTAACTGTAGCAAGATAGTGCTCAATAGTATTTAAGCCTCATTTCAGGTTCTTTAAACTAGCTCAGCATTTATAAATGTGAATTTTATATCAGACCAGTTAAATATGTTGAATATTACTCTTTCCTGAAACTGGCACAATTCTGTAATCTTATATCCAAAATTCCTTCCAACTGCAATGTCCTTTCCCTTAGAGCTAGCTCTCAGGATCATTTATTTGCACTGCACCAGTTCTTTAACCTTACTCCAGCCTCCAAGCCTTTGACCCTTCTATATCCTCCTGATCTTTCAAACCCTTCCTATCACCATCCTCTCCCTGCCTAGCCTTGAACCCATGGTTAAGCACTTCAACCATGTAATTGCATTGCTCTCAAATAGCGTGCCCCATCAATCTTCTGTCATACTCAACTGGAAAAATCCCAACCCTGGAGTCTGCCTTCTCAGTCAGAGGAAATAAATCATAAAGCCATACACAGATCTGGTGTGACTTAAAATCTGTCAGCTTTAAGTTCATCAGGACCCCCAGTGCTGCCTGGGGATCTTCTTATCCATCCTTGTTCAGCTCCCTTTTCTGCTATCCATAGCAATGATTAAAACCTTCTCCAATGCATTCAAACTTCTCACCCTACCCCCTCTAATGCCCAGAAGAAAATCTTGCCTACCACCGTCAGAACAGAAACCATTCCATGGAAACTCCCTCGATACTCTATCCACACCTATTCTTTTTTATTTTTCTTGCCACAGAAGGTACAGAATTTCTTGTACTGCCTCAGAATAATGAATCCTCTTGAGTTCTGCATCCCAATCATTCCCCCATAGTGAAGGGTTTCAGGTCCTCAGGTGTGTTGCCACATCAGCATAGCTCTCTCCCTCTCTGCTTCCTCTCTGAGTCATCATCCCTGGTGTGTCAGCTGACACGCTATCTTTCCCATCCCTTCACAATCAATCTTCTTTAAAGAGACATCTGCATTTATTTCCTGCATTTCTTCACCTTCCATTCACTCTTTAATTCTTTAGACTCTGGCATCCACTTCACTGAAATGACTCTGCACTAGGTGAAAGCACCTCTTCTTGTTAAATCCAAAATTCTTATCTTATGTGATTGATCTGCACCATTTAGCACCAATGAACACCTGTCCTCCTTAAAAGACCTTCCATGACAATGCTTTTTCTTTTTATAAATGCTCCATCTCAGTCTCTATGTCCCTTCCCATCCCTTAAATACCAGAGTTCCTCAGCTTTCTGTCCTGGCCCCTCTTTCCTTCTCTCACTACCTATTCTTTGTTGGAAGTACCATCTACCCCAAGATTGCAATTCTTGTTTATGAGTTAATACAAGGTGGGGACTCCAAAAAAACCACAATTATCTTCTGGAGAGTGTGCCTCTTGTGGTACAGGCTTACCCCACTAGGTGAGTGTTCTAGGAATCGATCTGTATCAGTGTACCATCTGGCATTGTTGTGAGAGGTTGCATTCAGCTTCAGTGATTTTTTTTGCAGACTCTTTCAACACGTTTGGCCCACTTCATGAGGGGTGATTTACACCACACTGAGTGTTCAGCAGTTTTTGACCAAAAATGGCATGACCCCCAGGGCCCTACCCCTATTCACCTGATCTTACCACAAGTGACTTTTTTTGTTTGTTTTCCCAGATGAAAAAGTCCCCAAAGGGAAATGTTTTGCTGATGTGGAAGAGGTGAAACAAAAAAAACAGCAGACGCACAAAAAGGCATCAAAATCAACAAGTTCAAAAACTATTTTTGAGCAGTAGAAAAAACTTCTCAATAGTGTATTGCATCAAATGGAGAGTACTTTGAAGGAGCCTAAAGTTTAAATATGTAAGAATAGATTCGGCAGTGGTCACTGAGCAGGTTGGGTTCTTCTCTCATTTGTGTGCCTCCCTTGGCTTCCTCAGCAACCAAGTCTGATAAAGCTGATATGGCCAAGATTGAGAAATTCGATAAGTCAAAAATGAAGAAGACAGAAAAGCAAAAGAAAAATCCACTGCCTTCCAAAGAAATGGCTGAACAGGAGAAGCAAGCAGGCAAATCATAATGAGGCCCACACTGCCAATACGCACTGTACATTCCACAAGCATTGCCGACTTATTTTACTTCTTTTAGCTGTTTAACTTTGTAAGCTGCAAAGAGGTTGGATCAGTTTAAATGACTGCGCTGCCCCTTTTCACATCAGAACTACTGACAATGAAGCCCGAACCTGCCTCTCCCATCTGCCACTCTAGATAGCAAGGAAGGAAAAGAACTTTCATGTTGGTGAAGGAAGAAGCTGGTGGGACAACAATGAAATCTAGAGTAAAGTAAAGCTGGTCCAAGGTGCCCTGCAGGCTGCAAAATGCAGTTTAATCAAAGTGCCATTTTTTTGTTAAAATAAGTTTAATTTTTTTGCAGACTCTTTCAACACGTTTGCAATTTTTTAATGTGCAAATAAAGAGTTTTAAAACCTGAAAAAAATATATATATATATAAAAGAATAAATACACAAATTTTTATAGATAAATTCTGGGGGCTTGGGGCCCCCACTCATAACTCCAAACCTCTGTACTTTCCTTGAAAACTCTACTGAGCTGCCCCCATATCCAACTTACATCCAACTGGATACTCCCACTGTGATGTACTATAGCCACCGTAGATATCCAAATATAACATATCCAAAACTGAATTCTTGAAACTCTTTCATTCTTCTCAAAGACACAGGTTCCTCTCCTGTGTTCCCAAACTCATTGAATGGCATCTCCATCCACCCAAAATACAGGTGCCATCTCTGCCCCCTCTCTCTTTAGCCCTGTCAGCAAATAATAACCATTGATTCCCACTAATTATCTCTCTAATCTGTCTATTCATTCACATTCATATTACTACTACCTTGGTTTGAACCCCCTTTTGAAGAGCCCCTAAACTCTCAGATTCTGGGAATACCCTGCCTTTGCCTCAAAACCCATTCCCTACTTTGGGACCAGAAGACAATTTCCAGAGAGTAAATCTGATTCTGTCACTCCACTGCTTGCAGACCATCAAGGGCAACTCTGAGACATCAGGAAAAGATGCATGCTGCTTGGTAGGTAATATGAGATGGCTAGGTAATCTGGCCACCTCTTATTTTTCAGCCTCATCTCTTGCTAGCCTATTTAGCCCCTACCCTTCCCCTCACTGTGAACTCCAGTCATGCAGGTTGTACAATTTCACACATTTACCTTGCTTCCTTGGCCTTTGTTAATGTTGTTGTATTAATCCTGCAATAATACTTTCTTAGTACTATTCTATCACACACAGGCACACAATACATATTTCCATGTCTGGCTAACTGCTATTCATCCTTTGGGACACAGTGAAATTATCACTTCCTCCAAAAAGCCTTCTATGATTACCTAAGACTGAGTTAGGTATTCTCTCTACTGTTTTCAAAGCACCTGGTACCTACTTCTCTACTAGAGAATTTAAATTGCCTGTTGACATGGTCTCTTTCCCTCACTGGGCTACATGCTCTTTGAGAGTCAGGTCAGTGTCTGGTTTCAAAACTTATGATTACTGTACGGCACAGTGCCTGGCACATAATAGGCACTACATACTTGTTTGATTTAAGTGAATAAGAGCATGTCATAGTTAAATTAATTAAAATGTGGCCATTCTCTTTCCAGAAGGTTTTGTTTGGGACAACAGCAAAGCACATGGGAGACACACATTGCTCCTAGCATCTACCAGAATAAACACTCTGGGAGGAGAAGTGGCAGAGGGAATGAGAAAGCCAGTTCCAAAAGGGCAGACACAACAGATTATTGAAGATGAAAGAGGTTTAAGACATGTACATTTTCACTCATCTAACTGTAAAGATTTTGTAAATAATAGTTTCCAGTGCTGATCAGCATTTGAAAAAAAAACAAAACTGTCAAACACTATTGTTAGGAATACAAAGCAGAGTACCTGTGGGGAAATATTCTATCAATACCTGTATAATGCTTGAAAGTTTTGCAAAGCCTTTAAACTATGAATTCCACATACAGAAATGTAGTATAAGAAAATATTCATATATAATATTTTACTGCAGAGATATTTATCACCAAAACTTTTCTGTTACATAATAAACAGAAATTATATATACAATAGATTGATTCAAGAAATTGCAGCAAAATAATATTTAGTCATTAAAAAGGATAAAAAACAAAAAATAAAAAGGATACAAAGAAAAAGGTTTAAAATATGAGTGAAAAAAGTATAGCAAAATATATATACAGTAGGATCTCATTTTTATAAAAATATTTACATATATGTATATATACACATATATCTATGTTTATATGAAACTAAAAGGTTACACAGTTCCAGCCAAGATGGAGGCACAGGTAGAAATCCTTCACTTCCTCGCACAACCAAAAAGAGGATAACAACCAATCTAAAATCAATAAACAACCAGAAGCACCAGAAAATCAAACTTCATGGAACTCCACAACCAAGGAATTAAAGAAAAAAATCAACCAGAACAACCAGACCAGTAAGGCAGACCCCTCTGACAGCAGGGGACTCAGAAAAACTGTGGGGAGGCAGTGGGGTGGGGCTGACTGCCGAGCTTGGCAGAACTTTTGGAGGTGGGGGGACACTGACTTAAGGGGAAAACTGAGACTCAGAGCTGACTGTGGGCTACAGCTGGGGTTGCCACAGTGGGAGATACTTCTAGTCTGACTCGAGAGTCTGTTGGAAAGTGTGCTAAAGATGAGCAGGAGAGCTACATTGCTCCCTCTCTGGCCCCTCCCCCACAGGCAGGGCAGTAAAGAGGGTTACCCTGCCCCCATGAATACCTAAGCCCCACCCCTTACAACTTATCAGGTGTACCAAGACAAAGAAATACGGCCCAAATGAAAGAACACAGCAAAACCTCAGAACTAAGCAATGAGGACATTGCCAACCTAAATGATGGCGAATTTAAAGCCCTGGTAATCAAAGAACTGATTGAGCTTCATCAAAAAATGAAAGAACAAATGAAAGATACCCAAAATGAAATAAAACAAAATTTTCAGGGAACCAACAGTGACAAGAAGGAAACCAGGATTCAAAGCAACAATTTGGAACAAAAGGAAGAAATAAACATCCAATTGGATCAGAACAAAGAAACAAGAATCCAAAAAAACGAAGAGAGGCTGAGGACTCTCTGGGACAATCTGAATGTTCCAATATCTGGATTATAGGGGTGCCAGAAGGAGAAGAACAGCAGTAAGAAACTGAAAACTTATTTGAAGAAATAATGAAGGAAAACTTCCCCAATCTGGCAAAGGAAATAGACTTCCAGGAAGTCCAGGAAGCCCAGAGAGTCCCAAAGAAGTTGGACCCAAAGAGGAACACACCAAGGCACATCATCATTAAGTTACCCAAGTTAAAGACAAAGAGAAAATCCTAAGAGCAGCAAGAGAAAAGAAGACAGTTACCTACAAAGGAGTTCCCATAAGGCTATCAGCTGATTTCTCCAAAGAAATCTTACAGGCAAGAAGGGGCTGGAAAGAAATATTCCAAGTCATAAAAGGCAAGGACCTACATCCAAGATTGCTCTATCCAGCAAATCTTTCAATTAGAATCGAAGGGCAGATAAAGTGCTTCCCAGATAAAGTCAAGTTAAAGGAGTTCATCATCACCAAGCCCTTATTGTGTGAAATGTTAAAGGGACTTATCTAAGAAAAAGAAGATAAAAATATGGACAATAAAATGACCACAAGCTCATAACTATTAACAAATGAACCTAAAAGAAAAGAAAAACAATGAAAACAAAAACTAAGCAAACAGCCAGAACAGGCAAGAACCAGAGAAATGGACATCACATGGAGGGATTTCAGTGGGGAGGTGGAAGGGAGGAATAGGAGAGAAAAGGTACAGGGAAGAAGAAGCATAATTAGTAAGCATAAAATAGATGGGGAAAGACAAAAAATGGAATAGGAAACAGAGGACTCAAAGAACTTATATGTACAACCCATGGACATGAACTAAGGGGGGCGGGGGATGCTGGACAGTTGGGAGGGCAGAGTGGAGGGGGGATAAAGGGGGACAAATTGGAAAACTGTAATAGCATAATCAATAAAAAATACTTTTAAAAAAGAAACTAAAAAGTTAATAATAAAATGTTGATAGTGATTGCTTTTGTTTCACAGAGTTACTTGCCATTAGGCTTTGTTTTTGGGGGTGGGGGTGGGGGTTTAGAGTCTTCAGTATTTTTACAATGTATTATTTTTATAAGACAAAAATAAAAAATTAAAGAATCAAAATTAAAATGCAGGCCTTACGCAAATTAGTCACTTATTACTGTACAACTACTCTATGTTGACCTTAATGAATCCAAAATATTGATACCATGTTCCCATTACATATAGTTATATAAATGGCCCCATTAACATAGTCAACTCCCTTTAATTCCCAGCTGTTCATATATAAATCCAGTGATTTTAACATTTAAGAGATATGTGTGTTCTTCAGGAAATTCACCAAGTCACACAACCCAAGGTCAAGGCAATTTATGCATCATGCAACATCATTCTCCAGATTCTCCTAATACCAGGCGCTGCACTCACCACAGTCCAGGAATATTAACCCCCACCATCCCTACAAAATAGTAACAGTTCATAATTTTGTCTTAATCTTTCATGAGTGAAAAGCACTTCTTACCAGGGTGTATATTTGCTGTTCCTTTGCACAGGACGATGAAGCCACCAGGACGGCATATGATTTTAGCTGTTTTCCCAAATGGGAGAACCGATCCACACCTGATCGTTGCCCCCACCCCACTTTCTTCTTAACCCTATGACCAAAGGCAACCTTTTGCAAAGCCATCTTGCTTTAGGGGAGGTTCCATCTGCACTCTGGGAACAGAGCAAAACCAACTGTCCAGCTCTTGATTAAACCATTCCACAGGTATCATTATTCTGCTGAATAATAAACTATTCTATATTCTAATGACCTAAAATTACTTGGCTTATTAGACTCTAGAGGGGAAACAGCAGACCTGGAAGTGAAGTTTTATGGGACCCAAAGCCACTCTATCATAAACTGTCAGAGAAACAA